GTGGGCGACGGAGATGCCAAAACGACTTAGTTGCCGAGAGATGGTTTCAGATGTCCCATTCATGTAAGGTAGAGAATAAAATTTCCGTTTCCCGTACTTACATAAGTTTTTTGGCGGAATATTCGTTTGGCATCGACCCCACTGCACCATCTAAACACCAAGCATGTTCTGGTGCTAACACTATTTAAGTCCAGCACGGACTAGTTTGTTAAGTCGTTGGTCTGGCCAGCTTCTCATAGTAGATCTCCTCACCCTTGGCCCATTAGATGCATTCTACCCTCTGTTTCTCCTTCCAAGGTCCTTAACAATTACTTCAGTTTTCGGCCGAATCGCGATATCAAGGAGATGTCTTCTATAGAAGAGACCAAATTGGACGCTCTGCCGAAGTCCTACGCCGCCTGGAGTCTCCCCTCTGGCAAGCGGGATCCCCGATTTCTCATCATTGATCCTACTAAGGGTCCGGATTCAACACTTCTGGGAACGAAGAGTCTTGACGAGGTTGCGGCTTCGTTCAAACGAGAGTTCGACAGGTAATGCAATTGTTACTAATGCGGTGTTATTGCATAAAATGAAGTTTTATTTTAGTTTTATCCGCTACGCCAAATATGTACTTCTCATGAACTGATATGCCCCCCGACGCAAGTCAATTTCATATTCACATGTAATGGCTACTGAAATACATACAAGTAGCAATCGCACATTGCATTGAAATTATTTTATTGAAATGACTCCGGCCAAAATGAAACATGAGAAGGTACATCAATAGTCCCTGGGAGTGTCTGATATGACTCAGAAAGTACACTTTTTTCGGACAAGAGAGATGCTTCTTTTAATTTTATCTAAGTTTAACTATTTTACAGGCAAACGATGTTCCATCTTGCTTTTGTTTGATGTAAACTCTAATGTCTACCTTTTTTCCTGTTTTGACACTGCATATAAGTTTCTTGCATTCATTTGAAGTATTTAACATATGGAGCTGAACTACGGGAAAACCAAATTGGAATTTTTTGTTAGCGCGATTTTCTGAACAAACATAATGTTATTATTGGTAAAGCAATTGTCCATAGTTTTTACTCGATTACATGAACTTGTCGAAGTGCTAAGAAATAAATTGTATGTCGGCTAAGTCTAGAGCCTCATTAAATTTTAAATACATTGATTATTTTTTGCACATTTTACCCTGATTACAAAAAACAACAACACCTGTGCAAATTACCATGGGTCGTTGAGTGGACTACACTCTCACGTTGAATATTACTCGTTTCTTCTTACCATTAACTAAGGGCGAAAGTCATGGGTAATTTTTAGTATCCCCAGGTCGAAATTAAGGAACTAGTTTGCAGAAAAAGGTGCTTTCGCAATGTTCTAAAGTGAAATACACAGCCACGGTTTTTCATCTATTTAATGAAGTCTCGGAAACGTGAACAGAAGTGATGTTCCAAGTTCCAAAACAAATCAAATTGTACTGCCTTTTTTACTTTCCTGGAAACTTTGTGGGCGAACTCGATGTACATCTTTCGAAACAAAGCTTTGCAGACTTGGTCTGAAAGTTAATATGAACGCCTGGGTTGCACATCAGTAATTTGTTTATTATTGCTTCTTGAGAGTTGTGTAACGTGCACTTATTATAGTGGCAGATATGCGTGCACCGATCAGTTACAGGACACACTCACCCGTCTATGGCGCTTTTGGAGCTCAAACTCGAGCCTAAACCGCAAGGCAGTTAATGATATAGGCAGAAGGACATAACCGACAAAGACAAGGGAGACTAGGATGGCTATTTCTGGCTAATTAGCCATTTGGGTCTGGGTATGACTGGCTGACGACGGC